CAGGTCAAAGAGGCCGTCGCGCTACTCAAGCAGGTTGTCGCTATACGAGAGCAAGTCCTCGCCGAAGACCATCGCGACCGGCTCGCGTCGCAGCAGTGGCTCGCATATTGGAAACAGCAGATCAAGATAAGCTAGACTAAAATTGCTGGCGTCGCTTCGCTCGTCAGTCGCGCGGCCCTTCGCTGCGCTACGGGGCGCTTCCTTCCTCTCTCTCGCTCCTGGCAATTTTCCTGTCCCTGCCGGAGGGCAATCGGCTCATCAACTGTTGGTCCTTACGATGGGTGGGCTTGGGGGGAGGTTGTGTTATGTATATGAATGAGCTCAAGGAATTTAAGAGGTGGAGGGAGTGAGAGGGTCCGCGCATGTAAGTGGACGTTCACTAGGTACTTTTTTGGGTCAACTATGCTGTTTTCTCTGTTTGCTCGCTTCCTGTGTCTCCTTATGGAATCGGGTCTGCTCACCCTCAGATCTGTGGCTCCTGTGGAGATACGGAAGGGCTGGCATGCCTTCAATCGAGTCACTCGAGGCTAACCATGGTGCTGCTTGGCGCCCTAAGTCGCAGAAGTCCGTCTTCTGCGGTCGAAAGGCAATCGTCGACTTCATCCTGGGCAAGTCGCGCGAGCGGGGCGGCGCAGAAAGCGCCGCCGAACAGTCGCGTGTTATCGCGCAAATGGAGGAGCTGTGCCCCAAGTGGTCTCTTGACAAGGTCACGAAGGCTATCAAGAACGGGGATCTGGAGCGTAGATGGCCGCCGGAAGCGTGAAAAGGGGGTTGCCTGGCTGTTCCTCTTCTTTTCGTTCTTTTGGTTTTTCTTTTTTTTTGGGGGGGGGCGGAAGGGAGGGGTGGAAAGGGTGCAAGTGTCACATAGCGTCCAATGTATGTACTGTAGCCCTGAGATTGACAACTGTCGTTGAGATCTGAAGTCCTGAAATTAGTGCGTCGAGCCCTAAATGATTAGTGGATTGGGCGCCAATTTTTAGGGTGCCAGACGGCCGGTTCCAGGGGAGCGAAATGCCTTCCCGGAATTGAAGCTCGTGCATCTCGACAACCACAGAAATGCATCATTTCCAAAGGATATCAATCTATTTCGCTCGACGAGCTGCATCAGCTAATGGCTTTTTAAAGGAATTTTACTGCGTGATTGCCGGGCAATACGGGAGGACTGCCAAAATTACCTCTCTGAAAGTGATATCAAAGGGCTGGGCGGTTTTTTGCGGGGTTTTCCAGAAACGCGCCATACGTTTCAGACCTGAGATATCCACTTGGTTCTCTAATGTTGCTCAGAAAAGGTATGGCGCACTCATGACCAGCGCCTCCAACCTTGCTCCCTCACAGCTATTCCTGGTTTTTGCAGAGGGGCTGACGGACAATCCGGCGTTGTCGCATTCTTGGTGCAAAGTGCCGGGGCCCAGCCAACACCATGAGTCTCAAGGAGTCGTTCGTTCTTTGATGGGGCTACTGTTTCATTTTCCCATTAACAGCAAGGCGTACTCTCACCTTGTCACACTATGGGGCGTATCATTACCTGGGTAAGCTGTGTGTATTACAACGGGTAGCTACCGTACCTCTCTTGTCTTTGGCGCCATATGCCCACGCTGTGTACAGTTCGCGGCCATTCTTCTTCCAAACAAGGGCTTAATTGTCCACAGTCTGATCCTCGCCGCCTGCCGGCACCGGCTTACAAAACGCCCGCGTTGGCGTGCCCTGCTGGAACAAAAAGTCCAAATGCGCGTAGGTGACGTTCCTGGTCTCGGGGATGTCGATCCAGGACAGGACAAAGCCGATGATGCAGAAGCCGCAGAAGACCAGCCCGATCTTGCCTCCGAGGTTGCCTTCGTCTGCGTTGAACATGTAGGGCACGCAGAACGAGAACACCCACGTCATGAAGGCGTTGACGAGGAAACCGAGACCCAGCGTCTTGGAACGAAGTGTGGCCGAGGGGATCTCGGCTGCCACGATGGGGTATGCCGTTCCGACGCCGAGATTGCTGCAGCAGGCGGCCATGATCAGGGCTACGCCGACGAACCTGGTGGAGAATCCCGTTAGCTCTCAGTTCGAGAGAAAAAAGTTGGAATCTGAGAAGGCAGGTAAGCAGGGCACGTACCTGATTGCGGTGGTGTCAGTTGTCCAGAATCCAGCAATGCCCATGCCGAGAAAGATGAAACCGGCAGCCACGAAGCTGGCCAAGATGGCGGTTCGGCGCCCGACGTGGGCTATCACAACCCAGGAAATGAGGGTGCAGGCCATGCTAAGGCCCACGCCGATTTGGTTGATGGTTAGGGACATGTTCGGGCTCATGCCGGCCATGATGAAAAAATAGGTCGAGTTTGACACGAGGGAGACGCCGATGAACTGCTGCAGGGTGTTGAGCAAGGCGACGATGCGTGTACGCCTCCAGTTGGTGCCCTTAAAGCATTCGGCATAGCTGGCCTGGTTGGACTGCTCGGCCGAGGCGGTTTCGTGCTCCATCGTCGCTCGGATTAATTGGATGCGCTCAGCCGTGGAGGCCCCAGATGAGCCGTAGATGAGCTTCATCACTTTCTCTGCGCTGGCAATCCTCTCCTTTGCAACGAGGAAGACCGGGCTCTCGGGGATGAAAGCGCCCACGACCATGGCAAACCCGGCAAAGGCCCATTGGCAGGCGAAGCCGAGTTTGAAGGCCATGGGGGTGAAATCCATGACACGGGAGAAGACGGTCGAGATAGCAATCATTTGGCCAACAGTCTATCCCAGCAGGTTGGTTTATCAGCGGCTCCAAGGGCTGGAAAACGCTCGGCTTACAATGAAGAAGGGGTAAAATCCAAGAAGAATGGTGCGCAGTCGGGGTGGGGAGATCTCGGACACGTATGTCTGGCAAGAAGACATCATGATGCCCATTGCGATTCCCAGGATAAACTTCGCGAGAAGAAGAATCCCCCGTCTAATATCAACCGACTCTGGGTTTGACGATACGAAAGCGATAGCGGTAGCTGTATGCAAAACAGTTAGCATTGCTGTCCTGGATGTTTTGTTTTGAGTAAGACAGGAATACTCGCCCACTGCAGAGACCGAACCACCAACAGAGAACATAATCTTGCGGCCAAATTTGTCCTGAAGCGCACCGTTGCTGAAGGCACCGGTCATGATGCCCATGGCAGCAAACGCCTGCCACAAACCCTGCCACAATGCCGGTAGAATCATGTCTTGACCGAAAGGCGAACCGAAATACATGCTAGAATTAAATTCTCAAAGTCAGTTGTTGACTGGAGCCACCTCGAAGGCAAGAAGCCGGGTGGCAGAGGCTAAGATTCGCGCAGGAACCCTGGGGACTCACGTAAAGGCCGGGAGGGCCGTGACGGCACCCTGAACGAGAACATCATAGCCGAAGAGAAAAGAGCCGCAGTTGGCAAAGAAAGTGATGATGATGACTCGAGGGTTCTCCTTGATCAGTTGCCAGATGCCCTTGTCTGCCTCGCTCGAGACTTGCATAGTCTCGGCAAACTCTCCGTGGGAGATGTCGAGCTTGGCATCCTGCTGGCTGGCAATGCTGGGAGCCATTTCGGAGGCGCTGGAGTCAAAAGATGGGGAGGCAACCTTGTGTCTTGTTCAGTCTGTTGGAGTCTCGGGTCCCTGGCGCGCAGCGACAGGCCTCGATGTTCCTAGACGCGGCGATGTGAGTGGGGGGGCGAGGTCATTGGGAGGTCCTCGAAGAGGCCAGGAGACCTCTTATACATGGAAGGGGATATCCATGAATGTGATGACACAAGGTATAAACTGTACTTCATGTTCCCCAGAATCATGCACGTCCCCAGGGGCCTAGACCCCAGTTTCTCCAGCCTGTGCCATCTCCACTAACGCCGACCCCACAATGTCACTTTCCGATATCTGGGCCCCGTGAATCGTGACAACCCTGAGACGCATAGACGAACCAGACAGCCAGGGATCCTGTGGAGCCGAAACCGCACGCCACTCCCGATGCCCTAAGTGGATCTCTCGGTTCAGTGTTGACCGAGGGCCTGAGCTCGAACGTTGGCCATGTATTCCCAATCGAATCGTCCAATATTGACAGAGGACGTTATTGTCGGGTAATTGCCGTGTAAGTGCTCGATCAACCAGCGCCACGTCGTTGGAACTGGAGGCTATCGCCAAGCTCCCGATGCTTTCGGAAAATGACAGACGGCAGGGACAAGACACTTTTGTAAATAACACTCATTGAGTTGACACGTCACTCACTGCGAATGACATCAGAGACGTCGTCTTCACATGCCTCTGAATTGCAGGTCTATTGTATGCATTCTACAGTAGACTCGAGCAGACTGTCTCAAAATGGTCGAAGAGCCTCTACCGGCCAATCCTTCCTCCTCGAGAAGGCCATTGAGAACGTGTGCTTGCCCGGCCCAACCACCGTCGACTCTTTCACGGAGCCCTCTGGGAAGACGATCTCCGCAGATACATTGGGCGGGACGACCACTTCCATGAGCAGCATCGTAGCTGCGTCGTTGCCGGTTTCCGTCCCTGCCAACGACCATGCACTCGCAGCTTTACCAAACGGCGTCTCAATCTCCACGCGAGCCTCCGTCAACTCGCCTCCAATCACCGGCGCAACCCTGATCGTCTTCCACCCTGGCGTAGTCGACTGCAACCCAGCCACACGTTCGTGAAGAAACTTTGCCACGGCGCCCAGCGCGTAGTGGTTGAAGCTGGTCATCTCGCCCGGGTTGATGCTCCCGTCAGGCAACATGCTGTCCCACCGCTCCCAGACGGTCGTGGCGCCCATGGTGACGGGATACAGCCACGACGGGCAGCTCTTGTTGTGCAACATGGCGTACGCAATCTGTGGGTGGCCCGCGAGGGCGAGTGCCTCGCAGATAAAGGGAGTTCCTGCAAACCCGGTGCCGATCTTGAAGGCGTTGCGCCGGACAATCCACGCTAGCCGTTCCGATGCTCGGGCCTTCTGCTCGGGGGAAGGGAAGAGGTCGAAGACGATGGCGAGGCCGTAGGCGGTCTGGGAATCGGACACCATTCGTCCCGTGGGTGAGATGTACTCGAGACCGAACTCGGCTTTCGCTGCGGCCGCTTCGGCCTTGTATTTGAGAGCGTCGTCCTCGTGGTTTAGGATCGCTGCAGTCGCGGCAACGAGCTCGAGTGACCGAACTAGAAACGCGTCCGCGACGAGGACCGCATCTGTTTGGCCCGCGGCCGGGTTATCAGGGGGGGCCGTGGGGTCAAGCCAGTCCTGGTAGTGGTAATGTCCATCGGTCAGTGTTCAAGAGCTGATGTATGCTTTGGAAAGCAGTACTTACACCGAGTTGAGGATGTGACAAGTCCCAGAGATGGCAATTACGACTTGAGTTCCTCGGAATGCTTACGATCCAATCCACCATGCTCTGGTACTGATCACGGAGAATCTCAACATCACCCGTCGCCTGATACAGGGCCCAGGGCGCGAGAACAGCCACATCTGCCCAGACCGCGGCCGGCAGGACATGACCGAACATCGGGTCATTGGTCACAGCATTGGGCACAACAAGCGGCGGGACGCCGCCGTGCTTGCATTGCTCCGCGAACACGTCCTTCAGCCAGCCCAGCAGCATACCAACACAATCGTACAGCAGCGTTGCAGTCGGCGCAAACATTGCTAGATCTCCCGTCCAGCCCAGCCGCTCGTCTCTTTGCGGACAATCTGTCGGAATACTGAGGAAGTTTCCGCGCATGCTCCAGACGACGTTCTCGTGAAGTCGAGAAAGGAGAGGGTCTGAGCAGCCAAAATTGCCGATGCGTCTCAGGTCTGTATGGCAAACAACGGCTTCGATGGACGACAACAAGCCGTCATTGCCGTCGTCTTCCACAGGTTCTGGCCAGCCGTCGACCTGGACATAACGAAATCCGTGGAATGTGAACTTTGGCTCCCACGACTCTCCGTCGACATCCCCGCGAAGCGTGTATTCGTCCAAGTTGGCGGCCACGCGAAGGGGTCTGTGCCCAAGTTCTCCGTCTTCAAGCACCTCGGCGTGTGTGAACGAGATTTTCAGGCCACCCCTCCCTCTAACCTTTTTAATCCTGATATAGCCGACCAAATTCTGCCCGAAATCCACGACTGTTTTCCCGCTGGACGTTAATATCCTCTCCAACGGCCGGACGGTGGCTATCCGACGTACAGGTTCGGCCTCCTCCGCAATGAGAAGCACACTGTCTGGAAACGGCTTGCAGACCGCAGCGTTTTCCCAGTTGCTGCTGTCTTGAGGGAGCACCACTGCCTTGCCGTCTGGTGAACCAGACCAGCCCGGAATCGCGAGCCGCGCATCGTACTTCTCGCCGTCGTAGAGCTCCGCGCTGACGGTAGGGCCTCTGGACGCGGTCCAAGACGAGTCTGTGCCGATGGTGTCTGTTGTCCCATCGTCATAGGTAATCTCGAGCTGGGCTAGGAGGGCAGGGCGTTCGCCCCAAAGATTGCGGAACCCACCGCCCCATCCCAACCGTCCGCAAAACCAGCCTTCGGCCACTCTCACCCCAATCACGTTCGTGCCTGGGGATTTGTGAAGGTGCTCCAGAACGTCGAAACACTGGTACCTCAGCCGCCTGTCGTAGACGGTCCATCCAGGGGCCAGGACATGATCGCCGACCGTGGTGGCGTTGATCTCCGCTTGATACACCCCTTGAGCCGTGATGTAGAGCCGGGCCGATGCTACCGACTTTGCTGCGTCTGTTCGAAACTCCTTTCTGAAGAGCTCCTCTGGCTGCGGGCTGTCCTTCGGGTACTCCCAGGGCGACGAAATGCGGTGCGCCGTCCACAGCTTCCGCTGCAACAGTCCACCTTCAATGCTCGCGATATTGCTCCATGCCGTCCGGCTCTGGCCTCCCTGGTCACCCCACGCACGCACCCGCACAAAGACGCGCTGCCTCGACTGGAGTGGCTGCGACAATGGCCACGGAACGAGGGTGCTTTGTTCCGAGATGACCTCGTCTCGGTGAATGCACGGTGCACCGGCGGCCGGCGGTTGGTCGTAGACTTCGAGCTCGTAGCCGTGCTGGACAAAACCGTCGGGAGTACCAGCAAATTTCCATGACAAGCGCGGGCGCTGAACATGAGTTCCGAGTTGGTGAGGAGAGGCATAGTGCTCGAAGCGCAGGTCGACGACTCGAGCACTGGGTATGGCCGACATCTTTGTAGGTTTGTCGTGCTCAACGTTGTCGGCGCGGTTTTGGCTGAGTCGGCTGGCCAAATGTCGGACGGCACGAGAACCGTTTGGTGATACGGCCTCTACTCGAAATCTCCCGAAGAGTTAACGTTGGTTTACTGATCCAGATGACAGCAGAATGCGATTCGGTCCAGGCTCGGCCGGATATCTACCAAATCGTCAATGCGTGGATTGCCGTTTGTCATTACCGGTGTTGCCACGCCTCCTCCACATCCCGAGACGAAGCCTTGTCGACTTGGCGTTCCCCAGACTCAACCAGGCAGCCCCAGTCACAAGGTTCGCTTTCACCAAGTGCAAATGCGGTTGGCAAAATTTGGCCGAATAGTCTATACAGCGAGAGGCGTAGTGTGATGGATCTTGATGACCAACTGGGAGATCTTACTGTTGTGAAAGATCCGGACCACATCCCGAGCTTGGTTCCCATGCTGGAGGAAGAGCATCAAACCAAGATAGGTACATAGAAGCATCAGCCAAACCCTACATCTTCAGCGTATACAATGACCATAGATTCAAGCGCTTAGCGCCACATCCCTCATCAGCCCGTGAAGGCACTCAACGTTGAGTCCAGATTCATCTTGCGGGGTCAGGGCAGGGGTGTAAAGGGGTTCTCGCGGCTTTGGTTGATATCCTTGACGGTCCCTTCATAATACAGATCTCTCATACGTTTTAGGCTCGATTCTCATGGATTTACCATGTTCCTCACGATTTCGCTTCGGCCTGAAAATCAGTGGCCTCTGTCTTCCGGGGTTCCAAGACAGAACTGGGCCTGTGCGGTTTGGTCGCGCCCCTTCTTCAACCCGCTCGGGCGGGCGGGTCGCGAGAGCATAAAGCGGCAACGCAAAGCGGCAACGCTCACCTGGCTCGAATCCATTGGCAAGCGGGCACTCCGAGGCAGGGAGAAAGCGCTAGGGCCGCAACGCACGTCGACGCTAGGCACGGTCAACAATCTCGGCAACCTCTATGCCGATCAGGGTCGTTTCAACGACGCCGAGGCCATGTATGAGCGGGCACTCTGAGGGTATGAGAAGGCACTGGGACCGGACACGTCGACGCTTTCTACAGTCAACAATCTAGCTACGTGCTACTTGGTGACGATCTGGCTAAGGACAGTCTGTTTGCATGGTTCAGCTTTGGCGTGAACACAACATCGCCCTAAGCTGATATTAACGAACAAAAGTATTCAGAGCAGGTAGTGCAGCCAAGGTTATAAGGTACTACGCTCCAATATACATTTGACTGCACCCCCTGTCCTACGAACTCACAGCTTCCAAGGACAGCGTTCGGCTCTTCCACCTCGTGCATGAAGCAGATCCGAGTAAAGAAGAACCCCACAAAAAAAAATCAAAAGGTAATGAACCGATCCATTGCATTGCACCATCTCGCTGTCTTATGTTTACCGCTGACGCCGAGGCGTTGATGGGCAATCATAACTGATGTGTCCAAAGCCAGTGCCTAAAAAGCATAGTGTTAGTGCTCCATATCCTGCGGTCGTGTCCATAGAGTAGTATACTGTTATCTTCGATATTTAGGACTTACATCGGTAATATTCTGTCTTTGGACAGCTGCGGAAGGAGTGCCCAGTTTGCTCACAGTTCTTGCAGCTGGGTGCCCAGCGGTACTGGAAAGGACTAACAGCTTGTGGAGAGCCAGCTGGTGACATGACACCGAAGCGTGGTGCCGCTGAGGGAGACCAAGCAGCGGCCCATGAAAGAGGAGCGGTCGCAGCAGTAGGACGTCTTGTAGGCGTGAGCAGCTGTGACTGCCTATAAGCGGGTGCAGGGTCTGACGGTGTACTTGGCTTTAAGAATCCCTGGCGGGTCGTGTATGTAATCTCCTGATAGCCGCTGTTGATTGTAAGTGACTTGAGTTGGCTTGTTAAAGCAGGAGGCACCAGAGGGGTGGCATGGTATGGGTGTAACTGAATAGTTGGAATGAAGGAGTCGGTGTCGCGCGTCCTACATGCAACATAAACTGGCATGGAGGTGCTGAGCGCGCACAGACATTTGCAGCGGGGCTACTATATGGTGCCTTCCGGTATCACTTGTGATTGCCAGGTCTTCCTCTGGGGCCGGTCCCCTTTCATTGGTGGCATGCTGTGACAACGCCCATTCAATATAGCCAGCGCCGATGAAACGCCTGAGCGAGCTTGTTCTTGTCAATCTCGTAGACACCTCTGCCCTGATATGTACAAGCGCCGTTAAGGGTCTGTACAAGTTTTCGGATACCGAGTCGGAAGTCGTACAGGAGCCCAGGCCGATGTGGGAACGGTCCGAGAGGTGAAAGACATTGTGTCAACCCTGCACCGGTAAACACCCCTGTATGTCCTTTGTCGGCGTTACAGGTCTCTCCAGCCGCGCAGAGAGAACGCAAGAACTCAGTACAGTGCTTCTCTTCGTTCCGTCTGAGATCTCGCACACCACGCTCCTCACGCTGGCGTAGTTGCGCAAACCCTTTGTTCTGCAGACGGCCGCCTCCGCGCTCCTCAAAGTTGATGATTTTGAGGACAAGCAACAGGCAGTTGGAGACGACGACATTGTAGTGCTTCTTCATAACGAGGTCGTAGAACTCATCATTGGTGGTAGCATCGTATTCGTCAGAAATCAGGGGGGCCACAATGGTCTCTATGTCTTGTATGTAAGACTGGAATCGCTCGCGTTGAAAGTCGTGCTTGGTCCAATCTCGCAAGTCTCGGTGGTCTAGACGTCTGGACCCCGCAACGGAATCGGCCCCACAATGGAATCCTGGCACCGCACCACCATTCCAGACATGACTAACTTCAACTCAACACAACTCATCCACTTCTTGGCCAAAATCAACATGACCGCTATCCGGGAAGAGCTTATTCAATTGGCTATAGCCGAGGTTCAAGAAGGCCTTTGTTCCCAGAGAGATGCAGCGGAAAAGTACAGCATCCCACAGTCTACCCTGAACCGACGGCTTCATGGCGCCCACCCTCGACAACAAGCCAAAATCCACGAACAACGGCTCAGTCCTGTGCAAGAGAGGCATGTAGTCGATTGGTGCCTCAATGAAGAAAAGTCTGGAAGGGCTCCTAGACGCAGCCAGGTGGTGGCTTTCGCGCAGGCCATCTTGGCTGAAGGAGGTGATCATCAGCCCCTGGGTGCTAGATGGATCGACCGCTTTCTACGCCGCCACGACGCTGTCAAAACTAAGAAATCAGCTCTGTTGGAAAGCTCTCGTACGAAAGGCTCTACACGGGACGCTTACCAAGATTTCTATGAGAGGCT